CCATTGACTTCAATAATAGTATTGCTACCTACTACCGCAAGAGGTAAACGGTCCTACAAAAGAAAAAGAATATTTTTTCTTAAAATAACTTATTAACAGATTGGATAGAAAGTAAAACAGTTTGTACTGCTCTGAGATCACAATAAAAATAAGTGTCAAAGGAGATTAGAAAAAAGAGCCAATACAAGACAGACTATAAGTATAAAGAAGAACATCATCTGGTTATAAAATTAAGAGAGTTTTTTGTTCAAGGCTGGTCATGGTCTAATGGAATTGAAGATTATATTCTTTAATTTTAATCCCATCCACCAGAAGGCAGAACCTTTTGATTGATTTGTCCCCAGCAATTAATGGCCCCAATTGGTTTTCAAAGCAGCTGGGGCAAATACTTGATTTGCTACACAGTCTTGCTGAGGCTCTGATAGGATAGCGACTATGTGGCCTCTCTTGGCCCATCACTCCAGTTATTCCCTGTGGTTCATGGAGGAGTTGAGGGAGTTGAAAAAGGTCAAGAGATTGCTGGAGGAAAAGAAAGAATGAACTCAACCAAACACGACTTAAAGCCACTATTAAGGCTCCGCAGTAAGAGCATCAATACTTCTCTGCTCTTATTGCATTCACAGAATGCCCCCCCCCTCCCACAGTGACTCTTTTTAGGGTCATCCAGACTCTCTTTTCAATTCAGAGGAATGTTATATAAACATATATAATTAGCTAAACTTAAACTGCCACACAGTGAATTTCAATAACATTCCTCCGAATTGAAATGATTTTACAACCAATATATTTCATGCAAAATCACATGCACATCCATTTAGAACCAAATAACAAAATAATAAAATGAGCAGATAAATGATTGATTGGGAAATCACTAGGATATGAAATCTAAATATATTTTCTAAGTATATTTATCGCCTCACTGCATGACAGTGTGGCAATCTACCTTAAGAGGGTACTACATCCTCTCATTTTAAAATCTTGCTTGTTAAAAAAATAAGAAATATTACAAACATTTCATTAGGCTAGAAACATGAAGCATCCAAAAGCAGTCACTACAACAGAGTAAAAGCAAAGACATTTTATTAAAAAAATGTTTTAATAGTCTTGAGATATTAAACAACAATCAAAACTTTCCCTAAGAATCTGGTACTATTATGAAGTATGCCAAAGTGTTTAAAAGTTTATATATACCAGAGTTTTCTATAGATGATAGATAGATAGATAGATAGATAGATAGATAGATAGATAGATAGATAGATAGATAGATAGATAGATNTGTATTAGACTTACAACAGTTCGTTTAGTGACTATTCAAAGTTACAGCACTGAAAAACTGACTTAGTACCATTGTAACATTCCTGTGATTATGAGATCAAAATTTGGATGCCTGACAATTGGTTCACATTTGTGACGGTTGCAGTGCCCTGGGATCATATGAACAGCTTTTGAGACTTTCTGACAAGCAAAGTTAATGGAAAAGTCAGATTGACTTAACCATATTACTAACTTAACAACTGCAATGATTCACTTAATAACTATGGCTAGAAAGGTCATAAAATGGGGGAAAACTCGACAAATGTCTCACTTAACAACATAACTTTTGGGCTCAATTATGGTCATAAGTCGAGGAACATCTGTATTGTGGTTACCGTAAATTAGTTCAGGGCTGAAAAATTCTACATCTATACCCCCAAAGAGCAGAATACAACATTATTCTGTGATGCATTTAATATTTATGTTATTTTAAATTATATCCAACAAACCGTTTCTCAAATGAATTATATGAAAATAGAAAATAAAGTGTTTTCACATCGGATATCAAGTTTTTCTTTTACTCTTCCTTTCATACTCTTTCTTTGTACTTGTGCCACCACGTTACCCTGCACTGAAATTATGACCCAGTCCTCTATTACTCCTTATCACAGAATATAGGAAAGGTTCAAGAAATGGAATAACTTAAAAATGCATTGCCAATATTAATGTTATAAACTTGTTTACCTTATTAACATGTTTCTTAGAATTGTGAAGTCACAGTGTTCGCCATTTTCAACTGCATTAAAAAAAATGCTCATTTTTAACACTTTAATCAGCATCAGATGAGCGAGCTGCAAATTAAACCCTGTATTTGCCATTAGTAAAATTTCCCTTGAAACTTAGTAATTCAAAAGATACATCCATGTTATTTTGTTGCAATAATATTAACATGCTTTGCCAATGCCTTCTTTCAGGAAGTTTCTATAATTTCCCACTTTACTATATAACTGTTTGCCTACAGATTCACATTCAAGTATTAACCAGGTCCAATTAGTTAATTTCTTTAAAAATCAATAAAAAAGGTAAAAACAAGCTTAATACATGTAATGTTATATTATTGAAATCATTATAATTATCCAAATGTACAATTAAAGAAATAAACCAAGTGTAATAAAACAATATTATACATAATAAAGTTGTGCTGTGCTTCCAATTCAAAAGCAAAATGATGCTCTAGAGCAGGGGTCCTCAAACTTTTTAAACAGAGAGCCAATTCATGGTCCCTCAGACTGTTTGGGGGGGGGGGGCTAACCATCTGTGTGAACGTGGCTAGGTTGTCATGTGAATGGGTGGACATGGCCAATTTAGCAGTCCATTAAACAACACACACAAATTAAACTTTAAGTTGTTATGCTCCTGGGTTAGTGAAGGGATCTGGCTGCCCTGGGGTATGTGTGAGGGATATGTGTGTGTGTGTGTGTGTGTGTGTGTCTCTCTCTCTTCTTCTCTTTCTGGGGAGACCAAAAACAAACCCATTTTTGGCCTCCTCAGTCTCCAGAATCACTCTGCTGCCCCAAAACAGGCCTGCTTTTGACTTCCTGAGGCCTCCATACATCCCATTTTTGTCCTCCTCGGCCTCCAGTACTACTGTGCTGCCCCAAAACAGGCCTGTTTTTGGCCTCCTGAGGCCTCAGTGTGTCCCATTTTTGGACTCCCGAGGCCTCTGCGCATTCTGTTTTTGGCCTTGGCCTCCAGAAGGTGGGTGGGGGCTGGCAGGTAGGTAAGATGATGTGGGCGGGGCAGCCATGTCATGATCCCACGCAGGCTGGATTAATGGCTTTGGCGGGCCATATCTGGCCCACGAACTGTAGTTTGAGGAACTCTGCTCTAGAGTCTAGACTGTTCAAATGAACTGTCTATAGAAGAGTTTTAAAATAATTCAAACATCCACAATATAATTCTTCAATTGAGTATCTGAGGAAATTCTCAATTTACATACATGTGACTCTTATGATTTTGTTATAATATTGGTAAAAGATGTAAAGTATAATTAACTTACCTTCTGCAACACCCCAAGGATACTGTCTTCCCCTAACTCTCTTCCCATTGACTTCAATAATAGTATTACTACCTACTACCGCAAGAGGTAAACGGTCCTACAAAAGAAAAAGAATATTTTTTCTTAAAATAACTTATTAACAGATTGGATAGAAAGTAAAACAGTTTGTACTGCTCTGAGATCACAATAAAAATAAGTGTCAAAGGAGATTA